ACACACACACACACACACACACACAAAATGTTTCTCCTATTGCCTCACCTTGTTCCGCGTAGCCTCGACAGTTGTACTGTGGGACTACCCCCGGGTCACACACAGTGTCCTCCAGACAGAAACTGGCCTTACTTCCCTCGGCCAAACGGTTTCCCTCGGCGTCCATGATGTCGTAGTGGGCAAACACCTCCATGCTGTGGTAATGCCTGGGGTAGAAATGTTTGTCATTACGATTAATTATTCAGTTTTAGTTTTAGTAGAGGTTTTACGGCGCTCGCAACTGTATAAAGTCATATGAGCACCCAGGGGGTGGAGTGGATGTCAACAGAGATTAAGTCCTTACAGGGAATCAGACTTACTCTGCTCACCTCTCTAGCTTCAACAGCACAAACTCTGCTTCGACTATCAAGGCTCCCCGGAAATAGTAGGTCACAAGAGTGTGACAAACATACAAAAGAAGTAGAGAACAAAAATGACAATAGTAAGAATTAGGGGAAAAAAGCAGCAGTTCCCTGTTGTAGATCAGGTACAGTTATGAGCGTGACTTTAATGAATCAGCCAATTTACAATCTACTGTGCTAGAACGAGAAATGGCCCCCCTTTAGGAATGGCCTAAAGACTTTTCAATCAGTGGCACCGCCCCCAGGGGGCGGGGGTTACGGCACTTGCCACACAATAAGGTCATATAAATGCAAAAGATTAGAGGTGTTACAAGAGAGTAACAAACATAAAAAAGAAGGAGGGGAGTTAAGGATGATAGGTGTTTGATAGGAAAGAAGGAGCAAATCACACCACACCAGAGCACGCACCAATCAACCACGGATTAATTATTATGGACATTATCTTATTATACGTTTATTGTGAGGTAACTGATGATTCCGATAATTGATTTATTAGTAACATGTATATTGAAACACAACAACAATAACAACAATATACGACCCCATGCAGTTGCAAGCGAAGTAAAACCTTACTAAAACAATAACAACAGCATCAACAACAACAAAAATAGAATAACTATAACTATTCTTTCTTTTTTGCAGCAACATCTTTACTATCAACAAGATGTAGACTGAGAGAGAGAGAGAGAGAGAGAGAGAGAGAGAGAGAGAGAGACAGTC